TTTGCCTGCTCTACTAATTAACATTGGCGTTACCGCATTGGCCTATAAGTTTGCACTGGACTGTACCCTGATAGATCGTAATTTGTCACCTGGCTCAATTTTTAGCGGTGGCCGTCGGACCGGCTATAAGATGCATACGCTTAGCGCACCTCAATTACAGTTACAAAATGACCAGGTTCACGATCTGACCGTACGGGATTACTACAGGGTGACCAGACAACCGCCTCCAAAATATGATGACATCATAATTAAGCAAGATACTGTTTAGTGAGCTGTATTAAAGTATTATTTTTGTAATATTTAAATGTAAATATGGCATATATTTTAATTATGTTATTATTATTTTTAATTTAATTATTTTTACATATTTAAATTGCATAATGTTAACCATGTGTTATTGTTAAGGTGTTATTTAATGTAATGACTAATTGTACCAATTAATCAATCATAGTGTATTACACATTTATTTTATTTGTAAAATTATTAAATTAATATCAAATTGATTTTTAATATAAATCAATAAAACCTTATGTTTAATACAAAAAAAAACTCAACCATTTATTACAACAATTCATTTTCAAAATAAACATAAGGTAACGTGAAAAACAGTGATTAACATTAATCCATTATTATAATACCTAACTATAAAATTAATTTATAAACTAGATTTAAACGTGTCTACATATATCATAACGTGGTTATGAGCTATATTTATGTTCATAGCCTTCACTATCGTTGGCCTCAATGCCTCGTTGGCCGACAACACCATTGGCCTCAATGCTGAGCAAACCTAACGGTAAGCCGAACTGCCACTACTGGCGAGACACTGACGCTCAGCATTACCCGTGCCGTCACCGGTGGCCGGGGATGAAGAGAAGGGCTCGCATGCAAATTATAGCGATGACTGTAAATATGATTTATGATGTAGTTTTAGAAATGTTAATGTAATTTGCTACTTTTATTTGATATTTGGTCTTTGTAGTACTTTTACTTATAGCTGCAGGTATATCCACGCTAGTAGTGATTTTACTTTTAGTTATCTAATTTATTTAATAAATAACTTAATATTTATTTTGACAAATGTTAATTTGTTGTTTATAAAATTCAAAAAATTATAAAATAATTTATTATACATTTATCATGTTAAACTTTCTCATGTCAACTTATAACTTATATTTTTAAATATATGTGTAATTTGCACACATAAAGTTTAGTTTAACTATTAAATGAGTATTGCATAAATAAAGTACTTTGTTTATAAATTTAAGTTTAAAAGTTAATTATAACAGTACTATATCTTTAAGTAATATATACATATGTAAGTATTTATATAATTATTACAGTTGTCTATTAAACTATACAAAGGATTAAACATCTAGTGTACTGTAGACATGAAGGTTAAAAATGCCATAGACTAAAGGTGATATCGCAGATAATAATATACAGAAAGTTACATGCAATATGTAATATTATTTATTAATTTTACTTTCTAGATGCAATAATGTCCGTATAATTAAATATTCACATCAATCCAGTAGTAAATTCTGTTTCCATAGTATTATTGTTTTGTATAAATCATACAAAACTGTATGAAATAATCTTATTTTTATTAATTATTGTATAACATTAAGTGCCGTAAAATGTAAAACAACTTGATGATACATTATAAACTTTTGCCTTATCAATAGGTTTTATGTTAATAAATTAGTCTTAAGGGTAATTATAATTAAATAATTATAGATCTAAACAATATGAATTATAAAATAAAAATTTAAGTAATTAGTAAATATTTTATTTTAGATTAAAAGATCTAGATCATGGATATAGAGCATAGTGCCTCGTTTATGTGCAAAAAATGGACCCTATTTTCACTGTGTATTATCGGGTACATTGTGTCCGTGATTTACATAGTCATATTAATTGCGATATTTGCTATATTGCCTATTGACTCAAAGGTAAGTATTGATAAACAATTGTGTTAGTAAAACACTGAACTAGTTTATTTTTACTAACTAGTATTGTCAATTAATTTTAGGCCCTGGTAATAGTACTGCTAATTGTGATTGGTATATCCATACTAGTAGTGCCGTCCATAGGCATAGTGGCCACTTAATCATTTTGGCCTGGCTATAGCGTTCAGCGTACTAATGA